ATATTATTATAAATTATATTATTTTGTTTTGCATTTATCAGGACAACAACAAAAACAAAAATCCACTGTTGCATGTCCTGACTTTATTTGCCCATATCGCTGGAACCAGTAGGAATATTCGAATGAAACAAAAGACAAAATACTTGTTATATATTAAAATATACATTTCAAAAAAAAAAATCATAGAAATCGGTTGAATAAGCATTAAAAAAAACCGCAAAATAAGGTCCCGGGTACAAACGTATCCCGGGTGTGTGTTTACGTGGTATTTTCTGGGTGTGTGTTCTAGGGTTAAGCACATACTCTTTGTAAGCAGAAAATCAAACAATCAAATTCCAGATGAAAATTTCAAACTGAAATGGTAAACGAATTTTCGAATGGATTGCAAGAATATTTCTACCAAAAGCATGTTAATTATTTAATTAAAGAGAAATGTACGGGAATTCAAAAGCTACCTATGTGACGTACATATGTATGTAAGTACATTATGTGTACATTTGTTTCAACATGTTCCGCATGCATATGTGCATACATACATACAAACGCATTCAATTCATTAAAATTCTTTAAAGCAACATATTACTTAATCAGATACAAGTGAGAAGCATCCTAATACGAAGTACTGCTGCAACAATTAAGTATGTCCTTTCCATTTAAAAGCATTTTATGGACAGTAAACGGTAGTAAGGCGGTTATTGATGTGAACTACTACCGGATGCGACGCAGGTCCATTTCCTGGTCGAGTCTGTCTTCTCCGTGATAAATAGTAGATCCAATATGGATTCGTTATTTCGTATTTTTAAAACCGTAGTCAGCGACCTCGAGTACGCCTGAGGAAAAATTTTCAAGCGAATCGAATAGATAGTAATTTTTTTGCCCGCATTATTGGATCCGCCATTTGGAATTTTTAAAATCAGTCTCCAGATTCGTAATTAGAGATCCTAAAAACATAAAAATCCGCTGAAAATTTTTCGGTTTTAAAATTAAACGGTTTTTCTGTTAAAATACATATATATTTCTATTAAAATTTTATTTTTTAACATTTGTTTATGCGCTGGGATGGATGAAATTTTACTTCTTAATTTTTTTATCATTTTGTAACGGCAACTCCATTAAAACATGTTCGAAGAAATTTCACATCGTATCTTTTAGTAGTAAACCATGCTGATCGATTTTTTAAGCTTACTATCTTTTTAATTAACGGCAAGTTTAAGAGAGGTGGCAGCCCTATTAAACTGCTAAATAAAATCGTTCGATATTTTCAGCAAGTTTTGCGATTTTAAGGATTTTTAATCATTTTTAATGTTTTTTTCGCTTGCATCCCGAATTTGGGTTTTAAATATTCTTAAACTATTGGCACTTTTGTGAATTTTTTTTTTTAATTTTATGACAAGTGGCAACTCTATTAAAACATATTTCGGTAAAATTTCCTCAAACATTTTTCAGTGGGAAACCATGCTGAACATTTTTCATGAGATAATTTATTTAGATAAAATTTCCGCTTACTTCTTTTATATTTGGTTATCATGTTAACTCACTGGGTTATCAATCCAGTTTAAATTTGGGACACGTGACATCCCTGTTAAAATATATATGTATTTGTATGTATATCTGTTCGGATACCATTTTTCTCAATACAATTTTTTGTATGTTAACACTATAGTTTTTTTTAATTAATTATTTAATTCATTTTAATTTTAAGACGGTGTTTGAACTAAATTTTATAAAAAACTGTGGTTTATTGAAACAATAAACCGTGATAAGCAAATATAAGCAAATTTTTTGAGCACTCTTTCGAATCCATTTGTGCAGCCCTCTACAATGTATGTATGTACATATGTATCTGTTTATGAGAGCGACCAGCAGTGTTCATTGCAGAGTATCTTTGTGTATATATAAAACTTAAGTATACTTATACTGATTTCAGCAGATTTCGAAAAATCCCACTTGACAACATTGGTTGGAGCACTGAAGCGCCTGAAACACCTCGAAAATTCACACTAAGGGTCTGATTATGCATACTTCGCATAACTTCGCACAACCATTTGTACCAGTGCACTAAAAGCGTAATTAAGAAAATGTGAAGCAAAATCTAAACTCAACAGATCGCTAAGTTTTTAAAAGTTCTGCTAATTTCTGGGTAATGGAATACATACAAAGTACATACGGAATTACAGTTTGAAGTTTATGCGAAGTTATGCGAAGTATGCATAATCAGACCATAACACTCGACCGCGCCTTCGTAGTGGTGCAGGTAGTTTACTTGGCCTTTGCCATTTTATTAGTACATTCAGCAGGCGTTTTAGGCGTTTGTAACATCACCAATCGATTCGCAAACAAATGCTAATGAGCAAAACCACCAATTAAGTCTAAAATTAAACCGTTGATTCTTTCAACGATTCGCGATAATACTACTCTTGAAACTTCGACGGGTGTCAATGGGTTTAGCTTCGTTAAATTTTGCATGAGTTAACGATCAATATTCTCAGATGATAATTGGATAAGTGTTACTGAATAAAACTCACATACGTATAAGCACAAATTTTTTCTTTTAATAATTCCAGCAAAACCCTATTTAGGCAAAGGGATGAAACTCGCAAAATCTAAAAACTTAGGTCAAACTGGGTTAGGATGAGAGTCATTCCGGTACAACTACGAACGTTAGCTGAGCTGCATACAGCGAAAAATGCACCGTGAGCAAGCGCATGAACCTGATCGATTGTCGATGTCGCATAAATCATCATAAAATATTGATTTTCATGAATTCCATATCATTTCTACGAAAAGTTGTTTTTCCCCCATATAAAATACATGGAAAACTTAGGGCGCTTTGAGCGACCTCTAAAATTTTTTTTCGATTTCAAAATAAAAAAATTGGGGTATATTTTTTCGATATAGAATAATCCTAAGGGGTTAGAGCATTAAAATTCCGAGGTTACTTGTTTTGCACCACCCTAATGTGCATACTTATGTGTCCATACATATTTACGATGTAGTTTAAAATTTTTTTAATTAGCCTCTCCCAAGTGGCTATGGTAATAAACGAGATGAGCACACTTAAAAGCTAACAAATAAGTAATTTGCATTTAATTCGCATTTATAAAATAGCATAACCACATATAAATATATTAACAATTTAAATAGAATTAATTTTGATAAAACAGAGAGCTGTTTATGTGTTCATATAACCACAAAAAAAAAACTTACTGGCAAAATTCAAATTCAAGCAGAGCAAAAGCAAACAAGAAAGGACTTTTATTTGAGTTCAATAAAATGCAAAAGTCAACTCTTTAACAACGTTTACAGTTGTTTTTATTACTATTTTATTGTTTTCCTTTTCAATAGCGTCTGCTGTACTCGTACAAACGTATTATTATATACAGATTCCATAAAGAAAAATAAATATAAATACATATGTAAGTATACCCTAGAGCACCTATGTATGTATATTAGACTGCATCACTCCCCTTACAAAAAAAAAATCAGTACTGATTTTCTTCTGGAATTATAAAATCTATTATATTTTAAGACCTTCACCAAAATATCTCGCATTTACGTGAGCTGGACCGATTTGAAAATACCTTCAAAAATTGAGTTTTGTATTAATAAAAACTGTTTTTTTTTAATAGTTTTTGAAAAAAGTACCTCAGATGACCAAACAGTTTAAGCTTCAAAAATTTGCATAAAAACATTAAAAATAAAAATTCTACAGAATCGTAATAATGAGATTTTTGATGCTGTTAAAAAAACTGCTCATAAAAAACCTCCATTTTTAGAGGTATTTTCAAACCGGTCCAGCTCATCTAAGTCTTAACATTTTTCCGAAATATTTTAGTAGAAGTCTTCGAATATACTAGGTTTTATACACCCGCCGGAAAAACCGCGACTTTTTTTGGTGATGCAGTCTAATGTATATAAATGTTTATTTATGTTCATACGAAGTACGAGGTAGCAGATATCTATAAAAAGTAACTGGAATTTCATATTTTGGGAAATCTATAAAATTAGCAGTTTCATTCATTCCTTTCATTTCCTTATATGGTATTTATATTATTTTCATCATATTTATTGATTCTTTTATCGGTATGAACGTATATGTTTATCGATTTTTATTAATATAGAAATCTTGTATGTCGTACCGTGAATATATTCGAGACGACTAGTGAATTAGTCGATCGTGTAAAACCGCCGCCAGAAGGCGTTCAAAGGCGAATCGAGATTTTTTCGAAATCCGCTATACAAGTAGAAAATCATGTCTCGCGAAATAAATACATATCGGCAAAACGACATACGTCCCAACTAGTTCTGAGGGTTGAGCGTGGCCACCACCCACCGCCCGCTCCAGCTTCGACTAGTCGGCGCAAACTTATGTTCCGAACTTCATGTTCACGATTGATTGGGTATCTAGTACCCAGAAATCAATCGATTGGACTTATAAATTATGGTGCGCTGTGGCGTGATTAAAACCTTAAACGGATTTCATTGATGTCTAATATATAATGGAATTTGCAAAAAGTTAAGAGGACCAATCTTGATTGCACACCTTAAAACGTTTAGGTACATAAAAAACAGAAGTGACCCTCGTACGCGTCCCACTACCACATACCTACTTTTCTCTGGTCGCTATACATCAAATGAAATTGAATTGAATTCTGTTGCGTCCTACCACACTACTATGTCACATCGCGTTAACATTGTTTCAATTTTATGAATATCGGTCGGTCAAGTGGCCAGTGAGAAAAATAGGCATTATTTCTGCGGTCTCAATCAAAATATTTTTTTTAATGCAACCTTCATTATATGTACATATGCATGTAAGTAAACGGCAGATCACACATAGCGGCACTATGATTAATATAAACAATATTGCTTATTGGAAAAAGCATAATTTGTA